TCCATATTTTGAAGATCGAAATACCAGTATAAGATACTAAAACAAAAGGAATTCTAAGCTAAAATACTACACATTACTACGCTACAAGGCTCTAAATTTTACTACGCTAAAAGGGTCTACGTTTTACTACGCTAAAAAGGTCTAGATTTTACTACGCTAAAAAATAATCTAACCTAAACATAAACAACAAATAAATTTAATTGCAAATAAAACACAAAACGGCATGAAAGCACATATATATAAATGAGAATATTAACAGACAAATTTATTTGACAAATTTATATTTTTATATAAAACAGTAAAATTAAATCCGGATAAATTTAAGATGCTAATTTCGAAAAAAAAAATACAAACCGAAATAGAACACATACAAATCAAATAATATGCATTATTATAAAAGTTTCAACTTAAAATAAATCGAAATACCTCGATTTAGAATTTTCGGAAATCAAATAGATCGAAATTTTGACTCCGAAAGCGTTAACCAACAATAACAAGAAGCTCTACTCGAGTGTGGGACCTACGATCTTCAAGTTTTATGTGCCGGGGGGACCCAATTTTTTTTTATATATTGGCGGACAGTTTACAGTGGGGGGACCAAGGGTGGGAGTAAAATATTTGAAGAAGGAAGGCGACGGGTGAAGAAGATGGAGGATTTTTTTATTAAGGGGTATAACGCCAGGTTTTCTGGCGCTATATCACTGTGTCAGTATATAACGCCAGAAAACCTGGCGCTATATATTAACGGTGCATTTACCGTTATTATATAGCGCCTGATTTTCTGGCGTTATATATATTATGATCACCTTTTTTTTTTTTTTTTTACACTTATTTGTGTTTTTTGAGTTCAAAATAACAACATTTTGGTTCCGGACTGATTGTGCTTGACCCTTATGTTGCTCAGCTTTTGAATAAGCAACATGCACTCGAAAAGAATAGGATCATAAGCACCATTACCAAAGTTTAGCATTCTAATAACCCCTATGGAATCCGTAGCTATTTCTAGTGGGGTGAGGTTCCTCTCCTCTACTATTTCTAGTCTTTGCAGCTTCTTATACTCTATATAATAATGATATAAGTTAATAATACATTGACTATTAATCACCGCATAATAATGGCTTTATTATTAATTATCATATGAATATTTATTGAATTATAATATTCATATAATTAGTACGTGAATCAAATTATTCGTTAGTTTATCTTTTAGTTACTTTACTTAAGTTTATCTTAACTTAGCAGACCTATAAAACATCTCATGCAACAAAAATGGAACACTTAATGTATCGTTTCATAACATACTGTATCGTACTGTATCGTATTGTACTGTATTGTTTGATAAATATAATGTTTGGATAAATTGTGTCGTTTGCCCTCGTTTTATGATATCATGCACCAGCAACATGAAGAATAAAATTGCAATATTATATATAAAAAAAATTACGATGCAGGGTATAATTACTATATATAAAAAGGTAGGATAAATGATAAAATAAAATTATTTAACAATAATGAAGGGTGAGATTGAGAGAAAAGACAAGGTAACGATGCGACCACACCAAATAGGTTGTTACATAAAGTGGCATATTTCGTCGTTACGTAACGATTGATTTAACGATACGATACAATAAAATTTAAATAACAATCAAAATAAATATCGTATTTAAAGTAACAATACGATACAATACAACATGTAACAACCATCCAAACAAGCTGTAAATCTCTTATTGTCATGCCATAAAAAGAGAGAGTATTTTAAGTTGTTTACTCATTTGTAGTTGGCAAATGAATAGACAACAATGGTTTCATCGAAATATATCTATTTTTGTTGTTCCTTTAATATCTTTAATTTTCAGTTTTTAGGTTATTGCAAAAAAAAAAAAAAAAACTAAAAAGGGAGTTTGAAAAACCTCTTTTATTTTCTCTCTTTTGTTATTGTATATACCCAAATTCCTCCAAAATTCCATCCCTAATTTACTCAGCCAGTAGACACTACCACCTGCGCCTCTGCTCCCAAAACTTTGTTCCACTCCTTTTTTGTCTTCTCAACCATTTTTATTTTTTTGTTCAGAATGGACAACGGCGCCAGCAAGGCATCAGCTCAGCTGACGGCTGAGGGGGCTGCACAGTTACAGGAAGGCATCGGGTTGGTGCTAGGTAGATGGACGGCCCTTCAGATGGCTATCGAGAACGACTGGGGTGGTCGTGGCTCTCGTGAAAAATCCAGTCAGCTCAATGTCGACATATTTTCGGCTTTCACAAATTCCAAAGGTAATTCTGCATATGATTAATAATCCGTCCGTCTCAATTTATGTGTTTTAGTTTTACTAGGCACGGAATATCCTTTGATCTTGTGGTTTTAAACATGGCATGCCATTTGGAGTTTTATCAAGGATAAAATGGAAATTTGAAACTTAAAACTTACTAAATATAAAAAGAGGCAACTTTTTTGAATCAAACTAAAAAGAGAAGCAACACATCAATTGAAATGGAGGGAGTAACATATTTAAGCTATTCCCAGCTGCTAATATACCTTTGTGTTATTCCCTGTTTATTGTATTTGATTAAAAAAATTGGTTTTCTTTTATTGTTTTTGTGGGGTCCTCATTGTTTTTCGTTATGCAGAAAAAGTATATATGGATGATATAGAAGAGATTCTAGATGAGTTCATGTTATCTCTAAATACTGAAGTCAATGATGGCAGTCTTGAGGAGGTACCGTGCCCACTCCTTGTCCTGTAATCCTTATCATATTTATTTGCTGTGTTAAGACAACATAAGTGGGAATGATTTTATCGACAATGAAATCAAATGGAGCAGTTTTTATGCCTGTGTTTGGAAAACTTCAAACAAACTCCTCGTAAGTGCTTTCTTTTGAAAAGTAAGCACTTCGAATTTTCCAGAAACATAATCAAGCTTTGAAGTACATCTCATCCGATTTGAAATAATTCAACAAGTATATGCCGTGTGCAAACTTCTGGTGTGATTCAAGTGTGTAAATTCTCCAGATTGTCCTGGTATTTATATTATAGCACAAGTCATTAAAAGAAAAAAAAAATTGGGGTCTCAGTAAAGGTTTTTGTCGTTATCAATCAAATATGTTTACTCTGATGCTATTCTCTCAAGGTTATGATATTGCATTTGACTACACTTTCAAACTTAATTCATTTGGTGATTCCGAAAGAGAAGGCTAGTTACCATTTCGTGTTCGGCCAAAACAGGAAGCTAGGGGTATGGATTAGTTTTGTGGGAAAAAAAAGAATATTACATTAATAGTATACTGATATGAGTTCAATTTGGAATTGATCGCATGACTAGCGTCCTCTTCAGAACCAATCTTTATTGCTGCTCTGGTCCTTTGTTTCATACAACCAAACTGTCCAATTCAATTGGGAGTATCAAGGTGACTTAAGAACCATATCTTAAATTCAGTGCGTTTATCTCATTTAATTGATTAAAAATGAGATAAACGTCCACAGAATATCATGATGTGTTATTTTTGCCTGTAATAAAGCTTAGAAGGCTTAGTAATAACTTGCTACGGATATCTCATGGGAATATATAAATGAATTCTTGGAATCAATTGATAGTTTAGTCCACAACTTGAAGAAGCATGTTTGTGGTTTGCCCTCCCCTTTGTGGTACTCCGCCTCCCTACAGGCAGCCATTTCCCAGTTCTCCGTAGTTCTGTCCCATTCTCTCCTTTTTTTATCTGGGATGAGAAGTTATGTCCCATTCTCTTCGCTTCCATCCTCTAACCTTTGTACAAGGAGGCATCAAGCGTACAAAAAAGAAGATCAGGAAAGGGGCAGGGCCTTTTTCTTTGATATTTTCTATTTGTTATTGTTATCTTGAATTTTGACCAAACTGTTGTACTGTTCCTGTTAGGCAGAAGTACAGTTTTAGAGTATAAGGACTAAAATGGTAATTTACCCTTTCTAAATTATGTTGTTTACAGTGATTGGAGAATTTATTATTCGTGTAATCATGCATTTCTGTAAGGCTTTGGAGTGAGATCTGATGTATGCTTCCCTAACAATTAATATTGGTGTTTTCTTTCAGGTAGCAGAAAAATTGATGTTTATGCATGAAGAGTGCCTGGAAGGCAATTTCAATTCAATCAAACTGCTAAGAGAAACAAATATTGGAAGGAGACCTGCTACTTATGTCAGACAAGTAAGCATCCCCTTTTTATAGGCAGTATATGTTTTTTCCTCTGTGATCGCTAGAATTTTTTCTGTTGATGGTCGCCTACTACTTCGCTATATCCTATCATATGCATGAAAAAAGTGATGAAGAAGAACTAGTATGTTGGATGAGTTACTTGTGTGGAAGTAATATAGGCCTTAATTCATATTTATTACAAATGAAGCTTGGGTAATTCAGGTATTGGATAATGTTAACTGTATGAGATGAAATTAATTATGCACGGTGTACTTTTGCTAATTGTTCTTAGGAAGTAGGAACTTGAGAAGAATGAGAAACCTTATATATTCAACCGTTTTATAAGATAACAAGCACAACGCTGTATTCCTCAATTTTCCTAGCTGAAATGGTTGGTGGGAGGTGCATGTTTTTTTTTTTTTTTTTTTGATGAAGTAATAATAGATTTCATTGCTGGCATCAAGAAGATGCATAATAATACAAAAGTTATGGAAGCAAAAAAGACACTGTTAGCTCAAGTACAAAAAGACTATTCTAGTACCAGGGAGCTAATGAAGTTCAAAAAGTTGTCAGGAGAATCTAAGGGGGAAAGGTAATGCCAACTATAAAGATACAAAAGACATCTAGCCTTGAGGGAATGATTTGGAGTTGAAAGCAACATTTCTGTTACTGGAACATGCTGGTATATCAATCAATCAATTACTCTTCAATCCCAAATTAGTTAGGGTTCAGTATATGAATTCTTTCTGATAAGTAAGGTAATCATTTTGTTCATTAAGTGTAAAGCAACAGTAGGAAGATGCTGAATGTGTACTGTACAAAAGAGGCAAAAACTCAATTCCTAATCTTATTCAGGATAAGGAGCTGAGAAATTCTAGCTGTGTCTACACATATACATCAGCCTTTTGCACCACAAAGTTAGCAAGTATGAACATCTACATTTAAGAACAGTCTCCCTTTTTCCTTAAAGTGTCTTTGGTTTCTTTCACTCATTTTGTCGACATTATATTCTTGATAAAAAAAAAATCTTTGGTTTCTTTCACCAGCCAGCAAATACACGTCCATTTTCCTTTGAAGTATCATTGGTTAAGCCAGCGCTGTTGGCAATTAGATGGATTTGAAATGATACATGCTCTAGTCGGTTCATAGTTTGTGTTTGAACTACTTGTTGCATGGAAACATTATTGTAATATTCTTACTTGTCATTTTTATAGTCGAGACTCCAGAGTTTTCCCCTGATGGCCTTGTTCTTGAATTCTACTTGAGTGATTCTTGAGGAATTCTATAAAATATCTTGAACTTCTATTATTTTTAGCAGCCCCAAACCGTTAAATTCCATCCCAGGTTGATGCCTTTGATATATTGACTAATATCAACCCCAAGGGAAAAGTGCCCTAAATTGAAACTATTTGCTCTTGATTTTTTCCCCGTGATGCATCTTTTTGTAATTGGAGAATATTGTCCAGTGATAATTTGTTGTATTGCTTACTTTTGCAAAACTTTCTAGGGTGCTAGCGATGATGACGACAGCAGTGATGATGGGAATGAGAACTTGGGTAACAATTCATCAGATATGGCAATTGATTCTGTGGAAACGCAATCAAATTTGGGCCAGGGTATGGTAGTTGATGAGCCTGTGATGAAGCAGCCAGCTGAAGTGGACGAGGACGGGTGGACAAAAGTAGCTACAAGGCGTAACAAAGGTAGAAGGAATTAAAGCACTACTACACCTCATGGATTATACAAAAATTTTGTTCCCTAAACCTTAAAAATGAAGATAGCTTGGTATGTTGGTGAACTATATTTTAACAGTTGTAATTATGGCGATTGTAATGTGGTTTTGCTTCCTCTTGCATTGGTGAATTCTCCACCAATTATCATCTAAGGCTCAGAGACGGTCTTTTTGCTAGTTGTAACAATGAAATTTGTAGTTTAAGTAAAACAACATTATTTTAGTCCCTCATTAGTCACTATGTTCTATACAAATAACTATCAACTTAATGATATAATGGTGCTCTTTGTATTTTGTCTTCCCCTAGTCCAGGTGGACACAATGATGCACGTAACACGTACAATAGCCCTTTAATTATGCGATAAACTTTGTGATAAATGATTATCGAATTTCTCCTTTTTTTCAATTAATTAAGTGATTTTTCTCGTAACCTTCGTCTTACAACTTGTTATTGGCAGTTGAAAAAACTATACAGCATGCGGCTAAATATAACACCAGAGGTGAAACCACAACCAAGGAAAAAGCATGAAGTAGCAAAGATAATAAATAGAAGACGCAACTAAGTTAACCCTCTCATATAGACGAATGTTTTACCTAAAGGCTTAAACAGCAAAACTAAAGTTCCCTAAAACTTCTCCCTTGTCAATCAGATATACAAACAAAGCCAACGCAGTGGCTTAGAGGGAGACAGAGCACGACATAGTTAATTTACTGATTTCTGGCATTCATCCCATCATATAACCAGTTCTAATATTTAATATTACAGAACTAAAAGTTTGCTTAGTTTATTTTTTCTCCAAATGTAAGACTTAGCAGAAGAACATGGAACTCCGCACATTCCTGTGAAGCCGAGGCAATGCGGGAACTGGAGCACCACCAACTGCTGTAACTCCACCGTGGCTCGACGATGTCTCTGACAGTTCATCAAACTTGATAAACTGTGACATCTGTGCTGCTGCCAAGTGGGCATAACATATAGGTGCAACTGCGCGAAACGTATTAAGAATAAACAAAATTGTTCATCAGATCAACATTAGGAGTAGTATGTGATGATATTCCATATGTAACACCTTTCAAGCCAAGTAAAGAATCATAATTCCTGAAAAAGCAATACTAGTAAAACACAAATGATTTTTCTTACCAACAGAGATGGCTGTAGTACTTCTCTGATACCTGCAGTGCAGTAGAAAAGATATATAAAATCTCTCAAGGAAGGATTTGAACAAGTAACATCTACTCATAGATATAGATTGTTCACTTACACATATGATAGTGAATGGACCAACTCTTGCATGTCATCAGCTGAAAATCCAATTTCATCATGCAGGACATGGTAGTGAGTCGGCCGTGTTGTTCCCTGAATAGCACAAAGATGACAGAAGCTCATCATAGATTAGAAGCAATAAATATGAATCATAGAGCAGTCTCAAACAAGGACTCTACAAAACTTACAATCGGCCCAGCATGAGCACACATGTAGAAGTCGTTGTTCTTAGGATGGCAAATTGCATTGTCGATCACAGTCCCTGCATAGAAAGATATTTCAAGGAAGTTTATACAGAACAGAGTCAATCAAATTATACTCCAGTAATAACACAAACTAGGTAGCTAAAAGTACAAACCAGGAAGAACATTATCAGGTGAGTTGGTCTGGAAAAACTTTGTGTGGTGATTCTTTTGTGCAACAACGACTGTGAACTTTGGAAACCAATTCTCATCCAAATGATTGCAGGCCTAGAGAATATGGTCATATTTAGTGATCAGGAAAATAATAGGTGTCATGGAAAAAACTAAGCTGCAGTTACTGCACATTCAAACCTCGATAATCTGATCGAGCTCAGTGTTTATCACTTGGTTGAACTGGGACTCACTCACTCCGTCTCTGTACATCCATGACAGCTTAATCATTAGCAACTATATGAAAATTTTAATGTGCACGAATGAGAAGAAACCAAAAAATATACATCATGTGCTAGTGTGAAGAGTATGCTTAAGTTAGATGTTGCATAATCAACATAGCACTAAATCAGAAAGCTGGTCTTGAAAGCATAGTGAAGGACATAAGAATTAAAGCCCTCAGAAGTAATGTCTTCCATTGTTTTTATATTTTTGCTTCAAGTCTACTTGAGAAGGGGAGAAAAGGTTGTGACGAAATGGAGAACTTGCATAAAATGTAGATATGGAGTTGGAAAGTACAACAAATTCTAGTTCCAAATTCACAGAACTGCATTTGAGTAAACGATTCAAGATTGAATCAGTTCTCTTAACTTGCTTTCTAGAAATTATACCTGAAAATTATGATATGCTCAGGTTTCACTTTGTTAGAACTTGAGTAGAAGTCCACCAGCAGCTCCCTGTATACAGAACAAAATTCTTAAGCAACAAAAAATGGGGGCATTCGATATAGTTACATAGCATAGAGAGTACTCTTGTATCAATTACAAAGCATTGAACCAGCAACTACCTGATAAGGCCATCATCTTGAGTATCTGATACTTTTTTGTACAGAGAGTCTATCATTTCCAGCTTTGGCGACTGAGTACGAACAGCTGCTCGATAGCGCGAAATAAGGGGCCATTGTCTAGAACTGACCACCTGATAATCACAAATCCATAGAATCAGCACTATCTAAGACAGAGAGAGAAGTTAAGCAATATAAAATGAGCAACATTATCTTTGAGTACCGCTGCAATGGATGGAACATCTGCTCGTCCAGGTGAGCCATGAGAGACATCCATTCCAATAATAATTGTGGGAACTTTTGAAATCTGAGGTAGTACAGGGGAAAGCTCCATAGCTAAAAAGGAATTCATACCACCCAGCTGCAAAGAAGCACCACACGTGGAAGAGGTGTTTGTTAATCAATCAGGAGTCAATATATAGTTGGAGTAAAAACCTTTTGTCAATTCAAACTTGCCTTAGCATTGATTTTCAAGAGCACATTGGTAAGGTACTGATCATTGATCTTTGTAGGAGCAATGCATTGTGTGACAATTCCAAGATCGGATAAATTCCTTCTCTTCCAGGGGCCTTCAATATGGAAAATTACCAGAAAAGAGACAATTAAAAAAGAGGTTCCAGCCACTATTATATAAAACTTTAAATGTAAAATTCAGAAGGAACCAAGATTGGTTGGCTCTAAGGCAACAACCATAAAGGTCGGAATTCTTCCTCTCTGGAAGTATGCAGAGAAGGAACTGAGGCGGAGATGGAAGTTTTGATTTCACAGCTTCTAGCATCTTCTCAACTCTCACAGGAGCAGGATTGCGTCTGAACTGTGGATTCTCCTCAAAGATATGATCAAATGGTTTGCTGATGGACTACATAGATAATGGAACACGTTAATGATGCAGAAATATGATTATATATATGTATATATACATGCACTCTAGAGTTGGAAAGGTACTCACAATTCCTTTTTGTTGCCCACACCTTTGTAGATCCATACAAAGCTTACGGACATCACAACGGGCAGAGAAGTTCACAACTGCCCAACGCTCAAGTTTGCTCAGTTCAACCAATTGCTGTGTTGGTAAGACTCCAAATTCAAAGGACTAGCATTGATAAGTCATTAGGAGAACGTAATATTGTTAAGCAAGATACCCTTACCTTCTGGTTAAAATTCCACCTTCCGTTTCTAGGAAACAAGTCTTGATCTCTGCCTACCTTCAACTGCAGAATAAGAAATAAAAAATGTCCATTCTTGTCAGTCATTGTGTACAACCTCAAATTTTCTAATCCAAAAGTGCCAACCTGAGAAACTTCTAGCAATTAAAAATGACAAAAGACCAACAGCAGGAAATTGAACATCGATCATGCTCACCTTTGGAGTTGGCAAGATACGACCTTCAACTTGAGTAAACTGATCACTGATCGAAATTCCAGCAGATCCAAGAAGAGGGTCAGCCTTATAGTTGCTGGTCTTTAGAGCCTGCAAGGTTTACATGATAGTGAAATGCATAGCTCGTATGAAATTAGTACAGGCTACAATTGATTCTAGAGCTTACATCACCCAATGTTCTCATTCTTTCTTGGGGCTTCTGTCGGGATTTTTCTACCAGGGAAGCCCTTTGTAGATTGGACAGCGCCTTGGTATAGCGTTGCAGAGACACCAGGTGGCAAAGCTGACAAGACAGAAAGGAAAACTGTGAGGTCACAAACATTAAAAGCTGCACATATTAGGTGTAAATTGTCTAGTACCTCAAGAGGAATAAAAGTTGGATGTTTGGGTTTCCCAACGTTTATGCAAGGAAAATCTCCAGAATAATTCAAAGGAATATGGCGATGATGAGTGAAATATTCATAAACAGTCAGCTCAACCTCTTTCTCTTCCCCAGCCATACCATTTCCACTTTTCTGCTTCAATGTGAAACTGGAACACAAAACAACTGACAATAAATCTTTGCGTGCTCTAAAGCAAATCAGTCCACAAAATGTGGAGAAAAGAAAAATGGATTCATAATGAACAAACAAACTGACGTCTGCTCTTTGCAAGGCTTTTCAGTGAGGCCGGTGATTTTGTATTCCCTATTTGAGGGGCTGGCCTTGATCCTCAGATTCTTGAGCATCTTCTTGGCCTGGGATAGAGGAGTAAATATGAAAACTAAAAATGTAACTGCTGCAAGGAAGGAAAAGAGAATGAGTAATAGACTAATAGTTACCTTGGTCCAGTCAATCTGGTAAGGATCTCTTGCATTTTGATTTGCCAGAAGGAAGTCTACCACTGGCCCTGGCTGCACAATCATTGTTGTTGATGCATCTGCAAGCTCAAACATTATAAGATAATGATTTGGGGGAGGTGAGAAAATGCAGATAACAACTTACCCATGTTCAATGATAGGCCTCCCTGAGTGGCCCGGAAACTTGAATGGAAACCCCTGCATCCTAAAACTCCTCCACCAAGCTCAGTGAAGTTTCTTGGCTCATCATGAAAAAAAGATTGTCGCACAATCAGGCAGCCCCTGTAACAAAACAAAAAAAAACGAGTTTTAGATAACCAGAATAAGTTGTCAAGGCAGAGAAAGAAGCAATTCCATACCGTTTGGCAGCATGCTGCCTCAAAACTATGTCAAGAACTCTCACTGTCTCTTGATACTGTTCGGAGTCTTGTCCCCGGAGTGCATTTGTTATTGCTTGCATCGGTATTTTTGCAGCATACTTAATTACCACTTTATATGCCTTGGACCGTGGCTGCCTCTTTGACCTCTTTTTATCAGCCTCACTAGGGCTCCCTTCAAGACTTCCACCTTGAGTAGTGCTTCTGTACACATGAAGCAAAAGTTTAGTTGATGCATAAAATTGGTTTTTAAAAAACCAAAATCATTTATTGTAAAACGCAGAAAGAAATTTAGTACTGCACCTAGAAGAAGAAGAGAGATCCTCCAACACAACAGTAAACTCAAGTTTGTTGTGAGGTAGTGCACCAATTGTAAACAGGCTCTTCTCACCATCATAGGCAAAATCTTTGCCGGCTAGCTCCAATGCATACGTTTGTTGCACCTTGTCCAGAATTTTTCGTCCTATGCCTTTTGCCTCTACAGGATTTCCATCTTCATAATTTAGAGCAACCTGAGGCAATGATAATCAATATTTTTTCAGTTAACTTTGAAATTTAATCAAGTCAACACAGCATTTCACATTGTACTTTAGCACAAAGAAATTGAATGCATCATAAGCAGATGAGAGCTTACACTATAATGGAAGAAGTATCCATCAGAGTTGGTCATCCCTACTTTAAAATGGTTGGTGAGTAGACGAATCTTTTGCCCTTTTGATCCAAACCCTGGTCGAGCCATAGGAACACGGCTTGGTTTTGCTGTTGTAGCTTCACCTTTTGAAGACGCCATTTTCTAACGACCAACCTAATTCAGTAATTTGTTCAGAGAGAAGTTAAAAAAACAAGACTAATGGAATTTTAAGTGTCATAGCATTATGAAATGATGTTTCATCTTTCTGGTGTGAATAAACCAGTAAGATATAATATATCCTGTCAGTTTATCAAATAAATGATATGATATAGTTGTAACATCATGTAATCTTAACAGAACATATCACAACAGGACTAAATTTTCGTCTGTAGATTCAGACATGCTGCAGTTTGTGGCTATAAAAATATAATCAGACAAATCTTCAAAAAGTAACAGAATTTGAGAAGAAAGAAAGAAAAGCTCAGCATACAAGTAATGCACAGACACATAGAGGCACATAAATAGACCAAAGAAATGCATGTATTCATTCCACTTAGCCAACTGAAAGATCATGCATGAATCCTAAAATAAATGGCCAAGTATGTTGAATGCAAGTTATTAAAACAGAGAGGCTTGATCTGAAATGAAATGGGAATATAGAAGGACATTCAAACATGAGTAACAAACTATTACCTACCAGTAAAACAATGATAACAGAAAAGTACAAAAGTTGTACCCTTTATGGTTGATCATATAAAGATATCCACATTTGGTTAAAGGGTGGCACACAACTAACAAAGTTTGAAAGCCATATTACAGATATTATCATCTAGCTGTCAGGAAATTAACTGCAATAAATCTTGAGCGGCGACTATAAAATCTCAATAGAACATGTTACGAATGGTTCTCAGTATTCATTTCCAGTAAAAACACAAGAAAAATAAAGTAATATAATATTCTGGTAACATGAAGATTCAGATGAGATACTAATAGTATTCATCTTTCAGAAAAAGGGGAATTAAGGGAAAAGATTAAACCACAAAATACAATAAAGCTCCAGAAAAAGGGATTTGAAGAAAGAAAAGACTCCATATCAACATGAAGAAGCAACCACATAATTCATAGAACACGTGAAGTCATACAAACATGGTACTTAACATTTTAAGGTCTTATAATGCCTGAATTAATCCCTCTTCAACTAAGATAGCTAATACACAAGATCCACACTCCAGCACATATTCTCATATAAAATTGTACGTGTAGACCACAGAGACACAGGCACATACAAGCAAAATACAAATATTTTAGCAATCTAAACACATGCACATGCATATGGTTGCACACACACAATCCCTAGCTATAACCCCCCTCCAAATTTTTACTTAATTCCTGAAGTTATTGGTTTGTCTCAACATTTTTTTAGCTTTTCTAATTAGTAAAAAAGTTCCATAGCACTCATATTTTAGTCTACCTAATACATCTTTATTCCAATGCCACTTCTCTACATAAACAAACTCAAAAATATATCTTCACATGTTCTTCAACAAATGTTACTCCATATAAATCATACATTCAACTCTCTCTTAATAATGATATAATGTCTAGGGAGATCAAATAAATTAGGATATACCTGAAAGACTTAATTAATGGTGGAACCTCAGAGAGTTGTAAAGTTAGACCTTAGGCTTCTGCAGAAAAATCAATAAAAATTCAAAAATCAGAACATGCCTCTTCACTTTTATGCAAAGAGAACTAAAGGACAAATATATCTTTTCTAGAGTTGGAATTTTTTTTGCATGATTAGTGAAAGCAACATTTTATTTAAGCATGACTAAAATAGTAGTAGTATAATTTATACAAAGAAACAAATTAGGAGTATTTCTTTTCAGAAGAAAAAGTTGATCTGCATAGCTGGAATATGGCAGTTGCTATAGACCAAAAAGAGCAAAGATTTCCATTTTTGGCAAACAGATTCAGAGCAAGAGGTTGACTAAAAAACACACACATAGAGCACACACACACTGAACATGCAGATAGCAGAGACAAACACTGATACAAAAGGCAAAAGTAAAATAAATGTAATGCATATGAATCAAAGCTAGCAAAAAACCAATTTCACATACCATCAAACAGTACATATGCAGAGAGCAAAAAAAAACTCAACACAAACAACTACATCCATGTTATACTGTACATACACACACACATATATATATATAGAGAGAGTAGATACCTCAGTTTTTAAAATTTAGAGAGTGGTAAAAGCAGACCCCAAGAATCCCTGCAAAAGTTTCCTCTCTTTTGTAAGTAATGGATAGTACAATATTCTTGTCTTTACTTATATGCAAAATTAAAGCATTGTACAAATATATCTCCTAATCTCCTATAGGATAAGGAGAAAAAAACTTTTACGAGTAAATGAGCACTACTTTTACAACTACTACTAGTAATAAAGTAATGTAATTAGCACACAATTAAAAGTTCAAAGAAAGCAAAGAGACTAAATAACAGCTGTATTAAAGACTAGAGTTTTCCTTTTTTGGCTAACGAATAAAGACATGCCAATGGACAATGGCTCAAGAAACAAAGAGACTGCCCATTATGACACTTGTTCGTTTTCAAAACTCTTTTACCTAAAACGGAAAACGGAACTTCTTCCAATGAGTTACTGTAAAAGGATACATGAACAGACATTGAACTTCATGAGAAGATGAAGCAACAAACCATCTCATATATAGACTCATAGGAGCACATACATACATATAATACATACATACATACATACAAATATATTTTACATGCATAAGTGTCATTATTACCCATAAAAACACCCTCCCTCGAAACCCCATTAGCAAGAAACCACAAAAAAACAGAGTGAGTAAAACCCTTTTACCAAAAACGGAAAAGGAAACTTCTTCCAATGGCTAACTGTAAAAGGATATATGAACAGACAGATTTTGAAAAGAAAATAACATTGGACTTCAAGAGAAGATGAAGCAACAAATCATCTCATAGACTCATATATACATACATTATAATCATGCATAAGGGTCATTACGACCCAAAAAAATCTCAAAAACAACAAGTTTTATCCAATATTGTTTACACAAACCTACAGAGAGAGCAAAGCAAGAGACGAAACCAGAAAGAGACGAAACAGATACAGTAGTCATGAAACATACAAACTGTGTAAAACCCCAAAATCTTTTCGCTTCAGGATACAGTAGTCATGAAACCAAAAAGAGAAAGAACAAGGGTAATGCACAATGCTTTGCAAAAAACAAACAATGTAAGACCCAAAATCTTTTCAGTTCAAGATACAGTAGTCATCAAGAAACAAGAAAAAGAAATCATTAAGAAAGAACAACGTTAATGCACAATGCTTACAAAGACAGAGAGAGAAGAGAAGAGGATAAACCAAACCTTAAAAACAGCTTTGTTAGAAAGAGAAAGATCGTAGCACAATATGAAAAGAGAGGGGGGAGGAATAAGGTTATATATATATATATATATATATATATATATATATATATATATATATATAATACTGATGTATATAGTGGTCGGGGGTTGGGATGGAGGGGTAGGGGACTAAGGGTGGGGTAGCAAAAAGATAGGTTATTGGTACTACTGCAGTTGCAGAGCTGCTGCTACTGCTAGTAGTAGTAGTATACCGTATTTGTATTTTGAGTGGAGAAACACGTACGGACGATGGACCACCTAATAATAATAATATGGGTGTCCTTTTCATATCTTTCTTGCTACTGCCCTAATTTCACTCCTTATTTGACCTAGCTTAATGTTTTATTATAACATTTTTATTATTGTTGTATTTGTATTCAATGGCGAAACTAGAATTTTTTTAAGGTTGCTCAAATTTTAAAGAAGTGAAAAGAAATTCCGGTAAAGGATGTTCAATATATGTTATACATCTCTAAAATATAATATTTTACCTATATATACACAATATAATTTTTTGACGAAGGGTGGTCAATTGAACATCCTTGATATGTTGTAGCTTCGCCCCTGTTTATATCGAAAATAGTTTTCCAAAATAATTTATCACGGAATTGATTTTTTTCTTCCATAATTTTCCCGCCTTTTCAATTTATATTTGACATGCGTGCATAAGTTACTGGACATAGAGTTTAAAAAAAAATACTATGGAACTCGCGCCTTAAAGATGCCATAAATTTTTTTGTGATTATAATAATATATCGTTAAGAATAAATAAAAAACTTAAGGTTAAATTGATTTCAAATATCAAAGGGTATCCCATATTTCACAATAGACCACGTAAGACTTATTTTCAGTTCATACTTGATAACTTTAAAGGTCGTCTAGCTGGATGGAAGACCAAATTCTCGACTATGGCGGGAAGAACTACATTAATAAAATCTACACTCAATACCCTCCCCAATCATGTCATGCAATACATCAATATTCCCACAAACATAATTAACAAAATGGAGCGTTACCAAAAAAACTTTTTGTGGGGTACCACTGATACACGGAAAAAGCTACATCTTATCAAATGAAAGCACATTACCACTCCTACAGTAAAGGGGGGGGGGGGGGATTAAATATCCAAAATCTAAGAACTAAGAATAATGCTTTGTTAGCAAGCCTAACTTGGAGGATCTTTCAGAAACCACAAGCTCTTTGGGCTAACACTCTCTTAAATAAATATCTCTCACTAAAATCGGTAGCTAATTGCTCATTGACTTGACGCAATATAAAAAGGTTGGAATCACTGTCAATTGGGTATCCGATGGAGAGTGGGGACAGGGAACCATATCAAGTTATGGACTGATCCATGGCTTAAATCTGGAACACCTTTGCGATCCATATTGATAGGACCACTGCCACAGTTTCATGACAAAGTTCCACTCTCTCACGTACTCACACATCAGAGATGGAATTGGACAAATTTCCCGTTTGAAATTACTGTGGACATAAAAAACGATGTCAATAAACAATACCTCTCTACCTATATGCAACAACAAGATCAACTCTTTTGGGCACTTACAAACAATGGACAATTCACTGTGCAAACTATGTATAAGGAGCTAGCTAATAATAAAATCCAACTCCCTATCACAACAAACGATTTCAAATGGATTTGGGCACGCCAATCCAACCAAAAATCAAAACATTCATTTGGCTATTACAACATAATAGGCTTCCCACGCGCCACTACCTCCATTATATAGGCATATCTGCAACACCAACTTGTCTTATCTGTCCAGAGACACCAGAAACTATAAGTCATATATTCCTCACCTGCTCTAATGCTCAACAATATTGGATTTCGATAGGACTGGATGATTACATTTGTCCCGCACATGGGCCCCACAAGCCAATGGTTACATAAAATAATTCACTCCAAACTTCTCTAGCTTCCCCATAAAGTTAACACACGCACTTTTTTGTCACTAGGCCTTTGGAATATCTGGACTACTAGAAATAAGATTTTATATGAACAGACTTCGCTAAAGCCAAGTCCACATCTAGTTTTAAATCAAACTATTAAGTTCGCCTATATGGCAGCATCACAACATACGCATCCTAAAAAAGTTCCTCTGAACCTTAAATGGATACCTCAAAAGCCTAACTATTACAAATTAAACACGGATGGGGCAACATCTTCCGAAACAGATGCCGATGAAATTGGAGGAGTAATTAGGAACCACTTAGGCGCTTGGATGGTGGGCTTTGCTGGCCAGGTCCCACATGTACATTGTATCACTACAGAGCTGCATGCACTCATAAAAGGGTTAAGTCTCGCTTTGGAAATGCAACTAATTCCGTTGGAAGTGGAAACGGATGCGCATGAGGTAATCACACTTTTAGATACAGATAATTCTAAGTACACTAACCTAATTTGTGACTGCAGGCACCTCCTCGGGATGCTACATAATCTACCAGTTCGACATGCGTACAAAGAACAAAATGGAATAGCAGACCAACTTGCAAAGCTAGGAATTAGGATGCAAGATCAGGCTATGCGGCAAATTTTTGTTAAACTACCGCTTTTTGTATCAGCTCAGCTGCAGGCAGATCAAATAGGAGCAACAACTCAACGTCTAGTATCTATACAAGATTCACAACAAGCTGCTTCTCACGATAGGAAAACATGTTTTGTTAGTAACCGTGTAGCTAATGAGGTTGTTGCCAATACTGTTTTGGCAATAGATAGGATAGCGACAACCTCTATCAGTAATAATGTATTTAGCGCTAGTATATGTACTATGGTGCACGAGCACCAATCCCCTGTACGCAACTTTTAATTTATGCAAGTCATCTTTTATAAAAAAAAAAAAGGGTGTCAAATTTTTTCTCATTTGTTTATGACTTTTATAAGGTCAATTTGTTGTCATTTTAATATATAGATTTGGTTAAATTTGTACACATTTTTAAAATTTTTAAAATTTTGTGGTTTGAATAGCTAAGAAAAATACTCTAGTTTCTTTTTCTAGGATTTCATAATGTATCTTTAACTAATATTTTATTACTAAACTTGAAATTTACATAAACTTTTCTTATCCGGATAATTACTATTAGAGACAGATCCAGAATTTAAACTTTGTGGGTTTAACTTTTAAGATTGTTATTGAACCTATTATATTTTATAGTTATGGGTTCATATCTACTATTTTTCTTATTTTAATAAATTTTTTACACATAAATTTTTACCCCGTATCAAAAATTAGGGATTCAATTGGACCTGTCGTTAACACACTACCTTCGCCCCTTATCGCAACCCCTTACGAAAGAAAGACAGCCAAAATCATCTTCAAAAAAAAGTATATTAATTTGAAGTTAATAAGTACAAATAGATATAAATAAAGTTCTTTAATATGTAGTGGAACTTTTAGAGACAATAAAACTTCATGGGGTTTCTTCTTGACAGGAAAATATTGTTGGAAAGCACATCCAATTTTAAGCAAATGGATATACAAACAATACCACATTTGAAATAAACTTATGGAAATCAGACAAGTTGAAGAGTTGGAATAAGTTGCATAATTTGGAACACAAATAAGGAAAGATTACCTTCTATAGCGAGATAATTTGTTAGGGGTAAATGCTTATTTGATGTTAACATCAAACAAAATATTAAGGGCCTGTTTCGATATAAAAAAAATTATTTTTTCTTGGAATAAGTGTTTGGCCATGAAAATTTCAAAATTTCACTTGAAGTTGAATTTCGAAATTTTTTAGCTAGCGTTTGGCCATAGATCTCAAATTTGTTTTGAAAAATCTGATTTGGGTGAAGTTTGGTTTGAAGATGAAAATGTGTTTGGACATACGTTTTCAAAACATATTTTCCAACTTTATTTTGGAAAAACATGTATATAATTCTTAAGTTTTGGGATTTTGGTCCAAAATCAGCTCAATAGCTGATTTTGGGATTTGAAATTTGGGATTTGGCCAAAATATGGGCAAAATTTATGGCCAAACATGAGTTTTGAAAATAAATCCCAAATTTATTTTGGCAAAACTCGTGGCCAAACGGGGCCTTAGAAATTTGAAAAACTCCAAAAGTTTGTTTTTCAATTCACTTCAAATTACTCATAAAAATTCAATAACAACTCCAAATTGTATTCATGTCTAAACACAACTCTAATTTTCAAATACTACCATTTTAACTTGAAAAAGAATTCACCTTTTTCCGGAATTTCACAATTCTTATGTCCAAACGCCCACTTAATCTTAACAATTAAATCTAAAGTAAAAATACATAGAAATTAACCATAAATTTGTGCATAAAAAACATATATTGTAAATTCGTTCATTTTCATGGATAGATATGGTCCTCTTAGAATTTAGACAATATAATATATTGCTCCAAATCACTGTCAAAATGGTGTAAACAAAAGGTCATACAACTAATCCTTGGGAGGGTTCTTAACTTAGTTCCAATTTTGGAACTTTAGGTGGGATATATATTATCTTCTTCTTTTTTAGGGGTGTGTTTGGCACGAAGGAAAAGTTTTTCAGGAAAATATTTTTTAATTTTCCCATATTTGGTTGGTTTAAATGTTTTGGAAAATATTTTCCTTATGAACTCATTTTCCTTATCAAAATAAGGAAAAATATTTTTCAAAACTCCTTCTCAACCTTCCCCACCCTATTCCCCATCCTCACCAACCCACCCCACACCCCACACCCACCCACCCAACACCACCCCACGCCTACCCACCCCACCACCTCTCTCCAATTTTTTTTTTTTTTTCAAATTTCAATTTTTTTCTGTCACCACCCAACCCGCTATTCCACCGCCCCTCCCGGGGAAAAAAATATTTTTATTTTTTTTTTTATAAATTTTCAGTTTTAGTTTTTCATCTTTCGTTTTACAGGTTCGAAATTTTACAAGTTCCAAAGTTATGAGTTCGGAGGTTTATGTATTTGGAAGTTTACGGGTTTAGAATTATAAAATTTATGGGTTCGAAAGTTTAGCGGTTCGGAAGTTTATGAAA